CTATGAAATGCTAGTATTTTTTCTTCATAATCTGCTGGCATTTTCTGTGCAATAGTTGTTTTTGTGCGCATTGATAAGCCTTGCCTTTTCATGAACCTGTAGCACCAGCCCTCAGACCCTGTTCCCAGAAAAGTTCTGATTCTCATGTTTTTCTGCAAATTCTTTGGCCTCGTTGACTATCATTTTGGTTGAAACACTTATCCCAGATTTCCTCTTATCTATCACCCACATTTTCAAGTTCAGGCCAAGATAGAACTGGGCATCGAAGGTTATGTTTTTGTTTTTTAGCAGTCTTTAGTTGATCTTTCTGCAGTTGCTAAGTACGTATAATTATTTTCGGTAGGTGATGGACTGAAATGCCTTGCTGCTGCTCTGTTTCCATGCATTTTGGTGTAGTTTAACACTCTTAGTTTATACTGAATTGTATAGCTTAATCTCTTGTTTCCTGTAGTCATATTTCCAGCGTATTTTTTTTTTAACAAATAGTTTTAAGCACCGATACCGACATGTTTATACAGAGTAGCACCGATACCGAAAAGTGTGTCAGCTGAGTCAAAGAAAGTCTATGTAAAGAAGGAAAGGCTCCATAGATGTAACGTGACCGTCGAACCTGCTCGAACTTAGACATCAGCTTCAAGCTTTGCCGCTTTTTGGCGACAGATATTTCACGCATGCGCAAAATAATTATGGCAGATGTAGAAATGTTATGTGTGTCTAGACCTTTATCCGGGCTATAAACATCACCAACGAATTCATACCGCAAACATTACGGTTAATCTTTGGATTATGGTAACTTGGCGATTTTAAGGCGACCAACCGTGCTACAACAATCTGCTAGTTTTGTTTTGGACGCCATTTTGTTTTCACGAAAGTAAAATCGTGTATTTTTTTTTTTTTTTTTAACTCAGCATTTTTTGCAACGAATCTGCTAGCCGAATTACTCTTATACTAGAACTTTTATGGAAGAAAAGTGCTTAATCATGATGAAGATTAGGTGCGAAATTGGGAGAAAGTGCAGAATCGCCCACTGCTTGCCACGTTTTTAAGAATTGCACATACACGGTATCATCCATGTACACGTCGACCTATTTTCACATAAAAAAGCATCCCAGAATTGCACAAAAATGGCTTTGCACTCACTCTTGACTTTATCCATGTATACTGCTAAAGTCTTAGCTAGTAACGTTTATCGCCTTACCAAAATGTCGCCAAACTACCTGTTACCATATTCCGAAGATTAGCCTGTGTCCTTCACGTATAAGATGCAATTAACGTTTTTGAGACCAAATTTAAGAAAAAAAGTGCATCTTATATGCCGTCAAATAAGGTAGTTTTTTTTTAAAATGATACTTTCATTTATGTTAATAGTTTTTTTTTAATGAGATTTTCATTTAAGTTAATTGATTTTATTTATGTGATGATAATGGATTTTCAATCATAGTTTCTGAAGTACTTTAAAATCATGCAATAAAGATATTAATCATAAAATTGGCTTTTTGATTTTATACTTTCACAATTTCTTTAGAAACTGCACTGTTAAAAACCGGAATATTTGGGAATTTTATAGTACTGAAAGATATTCAAAGACAGATCTGAATTTTATTATTTGTTTTCCATTAAATAGATAACTTTGCCAAGAAAAAAGGTCATTAATACATGATTATTTTACTTCTGTTAGGCTTTACGAATTGTTTTCTGTGCTAACTTGAATTCAGTACAAATTTGCTTTCGCATATCACGTTTAACTGGTTAATTTTGAGTTTTCACTTCCATATGCTTAATATATTGTTTTCTCTGCTAACTTGAATTTGTTACTTATTCTTTAATTAATGTGCATAATATATTGTTTTCTCTGCTAACTTGAATTTATGTTACTTATTCTTTAATTATTTAGATTATATGCACCAGATACCATGTTTATGCGGCTTACTTCAACGTGTTTTAATATCCGATAAACATACGCCGCTCATCCTTGGCGTCGATCAACAGTTGGTGAACTTGCCGAGTAAAACTGCAATGGCGCCAACGCATTCTTTGTGGATGAAAACCCTTTTATTGAAACATTTTAATTACAGAAAAGAAACTTACTAAATTTATTCTGAAAGAGGTGGAAAAGGGAATTATCTTACGAAACAAATTAGCACAACAGTGATCATAATAAATTTAGATAAAATTACACTTCATCTGATGATCACTGTTGTGCTAATTTGTTATTGAATATTTGACAATTATAATCGGCAAATTTTAGTTATGAAGAATCTAGTTCATCGTAAGTGAACGCGCAGAGAATTTTATGCAGACATATAAGCAGACAGACATGAGATTGTGCGATATAAGGAAGAAGTACAAAAGTTAAAATTAGTTGAATTATTTCATAGTCTTTAAATAATACCATAAAATATTACTATAGTATCATCCCCTTAAATGCTTTATTAACATTACTTTTAAGGATAAAATGCAAATTACTTTCTCAATAACATACTTGCCGACAACAGTAAGATAGGTCACGAAAAGAAAATCCAACTCGTATATATATTTGAAACATATTTCAATGAAGAAAAAAATTCCATCTTCTCACTCTAAAATTGTTACTTTTGAAAATGAAACCTGATATTTCCTTTGTATTCCTTTTATGCTACATAAATCATATTACTCTTTTTAACAATAGAACAGAACACAAAGTTCCATTTCCGTATAAAGTGCCTTCCTATATTGTTTTCATTATTATAGAGGGTTGATCTTTACAATATGGTAAAACTGGTAGTTTGGCAACATTTTGGAGGCGATAAAGGTTACTACCTGGGACTTTGGTAATAATGTGAGCAGTACTCAGTTCCGATTACGCATTATTTTGCGTGAGGGAAATGAGAGATCATGGAATATGTCATGTGATATTAATGGACGAATTACGGTTCTTTAATCGGAAAAGGGGGAAATCGGGAAAAAATGTGGAAATTTTTATTGTAGCATTTTGCTTTAGCTTCTGTGTTGTGTGAAACAGTGTTGTTAATTTTTGGATCCCATGGCCCTAACTAAAGTGAATTCGAAATGGGTATTTAGGTATTGTGATAAGAGAAGTTTGCTTTTTATTTAGCGAGGAAGTATGGAGGAAAAATTCGCAGAAAAAATCTTTCAATAATTTTATTGAATGAATTAGAAAAGTGTATCCACCACGTAATCAAGATTCTGAAGAAGATTAGGTAAGTTAGTATTTTTAATTATTTGAGGATATTATTTTTATGCATTGTTCTAAATGTAAGGTGGAAAGGAATTTGGTATTATTGGGAAAATTGTTATTAGCAATGATTTAGTTTAAAGTAATTAGGATTGTAAGGTAATTTTTATTAATTTAATGTATGTGCTCATTTATATTTTAAGTAGTGGTTTTTGAATTTAATTATATTTTAATGAAATGATAGTTATTTTGTGAATTTTATGTTTGTAGGAATTTGGTATACGTTTAAGTTGAAATAAACGTGCATGGAAATAATTTAAATATTTGATACTAAGTATTTGTAATGTTTGCGGTATGAATTCGTTGGTGACGTGTATAATGTAATAGATGATTTAGAGGTAAAAGTTTTTGGATATTTTATTTATTTTATATGTGGAAATGTTCATATTTGGAAAGGGTAAATACTTTTTCGCGATCAGGTAATTTCATATATGTTCTTTTTACCGGGTTTAAAGATTGAGAAAATTGTCATGTATTTTCGTGAAATTTTTCTAATTTATGAGAAAAAAGCAGTGTACATGGATATAGTGAAGACTGTGCGCAATGCCATTTTTTGTGAAATTCTGGGATGTTTTTTTAAGTAAAAAATAAGTCGGCGTGTACATGGTTTATGTGTATGTGTTTATTTTGAAAAACGCGTAAGGAGTATGGTATTGTGCACTTTTTCCCAATTTTGCAGTGAATATTTGTCATGATTAAGCAGTTTTGTTTGATAAAATTTCCAGCATAGGTGTAATTCGGCTAGTAGATTGTTGGAAGAAGTGTTCAGTAGATAAGAAGAAAAGAAACATGTCTTTACTTCGTGAAGACAAAATGGCGGCGGGGAAAAAATATAGAGGGTTGCTGTAGGAGAGTTGGTTGCCAAATTTTCGCCAAAAAATCGCCAAGTTACCATAATGTAAATTAGAGATTTAAATGCTTATGTGGATGCTATTTGCCGTTACATTAAAATAAGTAATTAAAGTTAAAATACCGAGCATACAATCTGACATCAAATTTTTAAATGAACACTAGATAGTTAAGCATTTGCAGAGAATGAATATTAAGACTGATTACTTAAAGAGAAAAAGAAGAAACTAAATCTCTCTCTCCTAAATTGATTTAAATATGGCAAATAACGCAATAATAACCGATATTAAAGAATGCAAGGTTATTTTTTGTATGTTTAATAAACTAACAGTATGGTGTTATGTTTTGATTCTGCAACACTATTATGATTCTACCATTACAGATCCTTCAATTAACGTCACATTATACCTATTATGTCTAATGCATCTGGAATACCATACGAGTAATTATATATAATGTACTAATTTTCCGACTAACCTTCAATACATTTTCATAGAAAAGTTTATCAAAAGAAAATAACTATCACCAACTTAATAGCAATAACATGGTGACAACTGCAAATCTATACCTTACAATAGAAATCTTTTACAACAATTCTGATGTAAACACTATCGCACAAGAATGAAAAAGGCCCTTACAAAGCTGAAGCAGCATCATAATCAAAATTAAGTTACACTGCTTTTACCGCATGTTATACTATAGTCCGCGCTTTCATTCAGGCCGCATTCCAGCAAATTTATTAATTTTTTAATCAACAAACTCGTAACATGTTTAGATACATATATAGAAAGAAGTAAATAAATTAATTTAGAGAATAGTTACAGTCGTTCAAATGATAAGGGGGAAAGATCTATTATTGTTCATGGCGCTCCACGTCGGCAAAACGTGATTAAAGACTACATGTGAAAACACTTACTTCCAATATAAATAACTTGATTCAAGCATCATGACATTGGGCTCAAATAAATTTAAAATGGACCATAAATTAGATTACTTATCAAACCTAGGTACACAAATATCACCGCATTAACACTGTCACTCGATTCATGTCACCACGCGGTAACTACGCGGCACCCATTAAACGTGGATTTCATCCAAAAGAGAATACGAGGCTATGAAAATAAATCCACGATTGGCTGATATTGGAGTAAGTTTCTTCACTTCGCTCCATACCTTTAGCCGGCTTCTAATCATGTAAGGATGAAAGATCAAGGAAGGATGGGTTCATTTACAAGGCTCATAGCAGGGATAAATAGACCATTCGTTTGTTCGACTCCTCGCCGACGCAAGCCTTATGGAGGGGGTTAACTAGAAGTAATCTGAATTGTCTGTGTTGCACCTGCTCTGATTTTGCGCGTTTAAAACTGTATTTTCATTCAGTTGCGAGACGATTTTCTGGAGGTCGCATATCCCAAATTAATTTTAATCATACATATTTGTTTTCTAATAATGCAAATATTTAAAATAATTTATATATATATATATATATATATATATATATAGTTTTAGTCGGTTTTCCTTTTAAATTCTATATTTAAAGTATCCTTTATGTAATATGGCTTCTTGTGCTGTAGCAACGTGCCATAACACTTATAGAAATACGAAAGGAAGAGATATTGTATTTCATGCTTTCCCAAAGGACAATTTGCTTTTGACGAAAGAATGGATACATAAATGTCGAAGGCAGGATTCTAATAATGTGAAAAACTCAAGAATTTGCTGCGAACATTTTCTGTGCAGTGATTATGAAGATGACAAGAGAAATCGCTTGTTTGGATGGCCGCAAAAGAAACTGTTGAAATGCAATACTGTGCCGAAAGAAATTTATTATATGCAGTAAACGAAATAACACCAAGAAATCGGAGACATTTGAAAAGAAAAGTAATGCAGAATGCTTTTGAGAGACTACGCGAACTAAGCCCAAGGAAAATTTATTTTACACACATCGTATTTTATTCCTGAGTGTCAAGATGTAGAAACATCTTTTTGCTCGATTTCTGATAAAGATCGGGTGAGAGATCATTCTGATGATAAGGATCGGGTGAGAGGAGAAAGAGTAGGGTGGAAGGAAGTGTGGGAGGCGGAAAAAAGAGAGAGTGAGGTCCGCACTAGCGGCGGCGAAAACAAGGGGTGGTGGCAAGTTCAGTGTCGTTATAAGATGTAGCCGCGGGTGGTAAACCGCAGAGTCAGTTTAGCGTGAATGAGTCAATTAAGGTTGTAATTCTTATGTGGTAGGATGTGACCTGGGTACCGATGTTTTTCTCTGGGATGCGGGGAGTGTCTGAGAGTGCTAATAAGGCTATTACTGTAGGTTTGCACTGAATAAAAGAAGTTGACCACTAATCGTTTAATATACTCTTGAATAAGTTCGATTCGAAGGTCTCTGTAAAATAATGTTTGGATATACCAAAGAGCATTGATAATTTCTCGCAGAATTTTATCTTGTAGAATTTGTAATTGTTTAATATTGGTTTTAGCTGCATATCCCCAGATCGGTGCTGCATAAAGGAGGGCTGGGAGAAGTATGGAGCGATATAGGATTAATTTCTTTGTAGTAGATAAGTTGCTTTTTCTACGAAAATTTATTTTGAGGCCGAGAACGAAATTGAAGCTGACAATAACAAATCAAATGTGAATGATTTTGAAATAAAACTCACAAGTGACAATGCCCTAAGTGACAATATTCCTGAATGCCCTAAGTGTAAAGATAAACAAGAATGTATTGATAATTTGAAGAACAAAATAATATCCTTAGAAAATTGTAATAAAAATATTGAAAAATAGAGAAAAGAAAAATTTTAGAATGTTTGCTCAGCGACAAAGAAGGTGGACGACATCTAGAAAGAAATTTGTATCGGAAATTCAGAAATTAAAATCCCAAACAGCGAAATTTGGAAAAAAACAGCACAGATCGGAGAATTTGGAAAAACGTCTAAAGCATATTTTTACAAAAACGCAGATTACCGCATTGCTAGAAAAGAAGGAAAAAATCAGGTGGACTAGTGAAGATATTTCACGTTGCATTGTCTTAAGAGTTCTATGATCTAAAAGCTACGATTTTTGGAAAGGAAAAAAAATGGGAATTCCTTTACCTAGCACTAGCACATTAAAGACATGGTGCGCTAAATTTTCATGTAGTCCAGGAATTCAGAGTGATGTTCTTTCTGTAATGAAAGAAGGATGCGAATATTTGAATTGTGTAGAAAAAATATGCGTTCTCAGTTTCGACGAAATGCACATAGATTCTAAACTCTGCTATGACTCTAAACTGGACTAAATTCTTGGTCCTTTTCAAAACGTGCAGCTTGTTTTAATCAGAGGTCTCATTTCGCAGTGGAAACAACCAATATTTTTTATTTTAACACTCGAATGAAGAAAGAACTTTTTTCACTCATAAGACATATTCAATCATCTGAAGTAGAAGTGAAAGCAATAGTGTCTGATTTAGGAGGATTTCGTACTTTGTGGAAAGAGTTATAGATTTCGATTAATAGTTTATTAATTAATAGTTAATAGTCAGAATTGAACCCTTATTCAGTTAAAATACTTAAAGCAGCATTTGGATTAAATGAACATCAGGAAAAGCAAATTCAAGTTTTGGAATTAATGAAGAAAGTCATTGGTGGATTAAGAGTTCAGGGAAAAACCAACATACTGCCTTTTCCAAAAAGGTATAATAATTTCAAAAAATTCTCTTTTTGGCCTACACCAGGATTTGAAATCATCGTATGATGCTAAATATATTTTAACCTCCAGATTAATTCAGGATGCACTTGAAAGTCTCTGTAGTCAGATTCGAGGGCTTGGTAGGTTTAATGATCCTCCATCACCTAGTGAAGTTATACGCCGCTTAAAGCAATTAATACTCGCCAATAAGCTGCAAAATTTATCTTCAAATGTGTGCATGACTAAAGAAAGCAGAAATATTGATTCATATTTAACATCAGAAATACCTTAAAGGACTTTGAAAACTGAGGAGGAAGATACTTTTCCATTAAATACTATTGATGATTTGGATTTGGATTTCATAGAGGAACCTTCGCCTATGGCTTGGTAATTAGAATTGAATTCCGCCAGACAATTTTCGACTGCCAAAAAGAAGCATTAACATATGTTGCAGGTTATATTGCCTACCATGTGCGAGACAAAGACCAATCATTGGGAACAATATCTAAAAATATTGCTGATGAACCAAATTTTGTTTCAGAATAGATTAAATTATTGTCCTTAGGAGGTTTTACTACGCCTTCTCATTCATGGATGGTCTTTTTAATTAATAAACTGGAGAATTATTATCCTGAAGTTAACAGAGAAGCAATTCATTTATTTTGCAGAGATCGAACTTTTATTAGAATACGTTTCTTAAATAGAAATGCATATGATTTTTCCCAAAGAAAAACAACCCAAAAGGCAAAAAAGTGGATTGCTTCGAATGTGGCAGCCAATAAATAATATTTCGACAACTTGTAGTTGCATTGAGACTGTACAAGTAAGCATATGTAATATGTTTTGATTTGAAATATTTCTAGATGACATTTTAGAAGTTAATAGCGTAAAGCATACTTTAAATGAGAACTAATTTTGTTAGGTTAACGTTAAAGCTATTTTTATTGTATCCTGTGTGCGATTGATTCGATTTTGTGCTAGCTTAGCATTCTAGATAAAATACGTATATATAAAGTATAGCATTAAAGTAATTGGCATAAGAAGACCTGCCTCCTTAACCCCCACTTTTGGAAAATTCAATAATTTTTTTAGGTACTGTGAGTAAAGTTGTTTTGTCTAAATTAAGATAGCAATCTTACATGTATTTATTTAAATGTAATATTGATGTAAGCCTAAGTTACAAAATTATTTAAAAAATATATGTTATTATATTGAATCGGAAGAAAAATATGCCAATGTAAAATTTACAGTTAGGCTGAAACTCAAACTTAGATTAGCAGAAATTTTGCCATATATAGCCATACATGTTTAAAACTATGCCAATTTAAGGTGGTTTTTTTTATTAATTTTAAATAGCTGTTATTATAGTTACTTTAGAAGCAGTAGTACAGTTCTCTTAGTTAACATGCAGATAAAGAAATGATTAGAAACAAACAGGCATTTAAAGAAAAAAATCCCTGCAAATTAAAAAAAAAGGAACTTTATGCTAAGAGTAGCGCATTTAATCTATTATTTTAGAATTGAGTAAGTTCTATTAAATTTTTTAACGTTCAGTGTAAAATGCATACTGCAGTAACATTGTCTATTTCAAATTATAGCTATCTTTCCCACACAGCTCATTTTAAACGCTGGTTCTTCAAATTTAAAACGCTAATTTCTATGTTCTCAATTGCATCTCCGCGCTTAGTGTCATCATGGCTACGTCATCACTCTCCACTGCCTGTTTCAGGGGAAAAAGCTCTACTGCGATACTGTTGTGTTGTTCTGGGTATCTATTGCTGTGGCAATACTTCGCAGACATTCAAAGTAGAAACCCTAAACAGTGTAAAAACCTAAATATTTTTCCTCTAAGAGGAAGATATGATGAATACGAGAAAATACGGTGCCTCATGTATGTATACTCGAATGCTGACTGGAGCCGGTGAGAAGAAATGCTGGTCGAGGAGCAGGGGGCGTGTCCTAGCCCTTAGCCTGTCGAGTGATTTTCTACAAATACCTTTAAAACTGTCACTAATTTTGGACCGAGCTTCCCTTATAATGTCGGGAAAATAACCCTAAACCTCTGAAAAATGTCAGCTACTGCTATTGTTATTTCTTTCCCCTTCCTGAATACTAGATCAAGGGTTCCGACTGTAAGTAAGATGGATTAACTAACCATAAATATTAGTACCTGTAGATGGGAGTTGTCAAGAAAGTTGCAAATGACTATAATAGCTTTCTCCGTGATGACCGTCCGAATGCCGCAGGGTACAGGTGTCGAATACTATCTTAAAGGTTTTTCTTTCCTAAAAGACACTCTTATTTTGAAATAACTTGATTTTAAAATTTACCCGCTCTTCTTTTATTATTATTATTCATGTTTAATCTAAGTTACCTAAATCTCTGGGTCATTGATTATCATCTGAATTTCAATGCAGATTGGTTAAACTGCTATTA